TTAAAATAGCAGAATGAGTTTCAAGTATGAAGAAATACAGTAAAAGTATGGCCAGTAGACGGATAGAAAACAGCAGCCTGGAATGTGGTTTGCATTCTTGATTAGTTTTTCTCCTGGTACCACAGCCAAAAACTGAATTCTCTGCAAAATGACTTGGTTTAGACCTCAAGATGCATACAAAGATGCTAGGGGGCATTTCTCAATGACATCACGAGAACATTCTATACCTGGCATGAGCAACCATCTCTGGGTGACCATGGCCACCCAAAGGTCAAGTTGGGGTGGTGGCCAGGCCTAAGTAGGAACACTCTGATGCCTAAAATATTGCTCATCATGTCTTTGATGCCCAAAAAATCAGCAGAGGAAGATGGAGAGCACCAGATTGATAGGTCTGGGTGGTGGCAGGGAGCACCTTATTGGAAGGGAAGAAGCAATGCAAAGTATGGGATGTATGGTGTGGGAACACTGGTCGTCCTGGGTGGGTACACACAGCCTAGACAAGCATCTGATGTGCACAGTCTCTACAGTTCTAGAACTGTGATTTCAAACACAGAAACCAACAAGTCGAATGTCCAAATTAAGTGTGTTTACTTTTAAGATATTTTCTATTATAAGAATAAGTCAGACAAAAAGAAGCTGACAAGTGTATACAGCCTTGCTGACACCTAGAAGAAAGAATATTTTAAGTAGGCCCTATGAGAATGCAGAAACACTAATACATTTTGCAGTGAAAATGTACTACACATCTCAGACATGATAATCCTATAAAACTCTCTGGCTCTGCTTTGCACTCTACGGGAACTCATATTGTGCTTTTCTTAACACACACTTCTCTTCTACACCAAACACTTGCCCTTTAACCTTCAGATCAAACTGAAAATACAAGAAATGCAACCACTTTTCCAGGTGTTGGGAATTTTGGCTGTTAACATCCCTTTTTTGACGACTATACTTGCAATCCTTGCCTTTTACTATACATAGCTAAGCTGACTGAAGCCTGGAAACTTAGACTTCTCCATCTGACATGCTCTGGAAGCCTGCTTTGCTCTTCACAGGACTACCTGTTCCCACTGCTTCACAGGACACCTAGGAGGGCACTAGCCTACTTGGAGAAGCTTCTTCACAGGGCCAGGCAAGAGGCACCGCCCAGATGCCTGTCTGTGCCTAGCATCTACTTCACTGGTCACCTGGCCCAAATCCTAAATTAAGACAGCTTCTAAAATGCTTTTCTACTTTTAGCTTTCATTTTGGTGTAATTTCACACTATACTCTATGCATATTTGACTAAAGCGACAACTACAAAGTCCTTTGCTTTAATCCCTTTACATAATAAGACACAAGACACCAAACGTTCTACATCTATAGACTTAAATATATGAGTCATGTTAAAAATGCATGCAGCTTATTTGGGGGCTTAGTCTAATTCTTATTTTCTTAGCTCCATCAAGACCATGATAATGAAAGTTAAATGCAAGTCCTAACACTTTCTGCCTTCAGTTGTATTTTCACAGAACTAGTGTGATTCAGAAATAAATAACATATATAATAATAGAAATAATTTATGCAAATGTAGAACTTGCAAAAAATTCCCCACTTGCTAAGTGCTGTTTCTAGGATGCTATTAATTCCATGTGCTAACACATTTATTACTGATCATGGGAAAATAACAAATAAAAAGTGAGGAACTATAATATCTATGTGTATATTGTTGCAAACAGAAGGTTAGAGTGAAAAGATAGTTGATGCTTGGGGATTCAAGAAATGTATTACAGCTGGAATCTATTTTAATTATTCAGACTTCCAGGTCAAACTGAGTTGCTGGTGACCACGGAAGTATTGCAAGCTAATACACGTTAATGAATTTAATAACACTTAAGATAGAAAATTTCAAGTAAGGGCACAGGGTAGCTACAGAACTTTAACTAAAGCACATCAGTGGAATCTGGGTAGAAACCACAAAGAATTAGGAACTATGCAATTGCGTGGCTCTGTTTGATCAGTGCCAGTCATAGTTCTTGGCAGTCAATATGCTATGAGCTCCCCTTAAGAAATCCTACATTTAACAAACCAACTCCTAAAATAGAGAAGGGGGCCAATTTGTGCGAGCAAACAATTCACACAAAAGATTCCTCTAAATGAGAAAATCCTGTAATTTGCTTACATACCTCTAATTCCCTGACAAAGAAGCAATTGGAACTAAAAAATTAGCTTTTGCCAACTGAAGATGAAACAGAAAACAATTAAAAAAAACGTTTCCAAGAATCTTTTGCCATCATATATGCATAAATAAAAAAATAAAATCTTTCCTGTAATTATACATCTTCCCTTAAAATAAAAAATAGCTGAGCTTAGAGCTGGAGATGGCCGGCAGAGCTGGCACAGCGCAGCGCCCGCCGCATCTCGATATACCTGAACGTGGACTTGTGTTGTACTTACTGATGCGCAAAGCGCATCGTTTGTTTCTAGGGTCCTCCACTTCCCAGGACCGCACGGTTGCCGGGGGGACAGCAGCAGGGCTCCTCCTCCCCCGACGGAAGCCACGCCCCTACCACTCTACCGCCGGGGGCGGGGCTACGCGACCACGCCCCCGAGGACTGCCAGGTGTGCAGGACGACCCAGGAGTCTACCCCGTGGGAGGAGGGGGTGGAGACTAGTGTGTGTGGCATCATCGGATTCAGTGTGAATTACTGGGACTTGCCTGCATGCCACTCTGGGGTAGTCAAGCAAGGCCAGTGTCTGCCACTCTTGTGTTGTGCTGCACAAACTCTCGAAAAATACTGTAAATTTCATTCCTCCTAAATTCCGCCAATCATTGGGGGAGGGAGGAATGGGTCTGTGAGCAAAAATGTGAACTAAGAAAATATGTAGCAGAAAATTGTCAAAAGGCTTAAGAACTGGAGAAACCAAAGGTTTACATACTTTCCTAATTTCTCATGTTCATATATTTAAGACAAAATTTAAGAACTAGAATTTCTTATGAATTGACATTTTCATTTATACAAATATAAAAAAGGCCAGGTCTTTTAGGGTTCTTTCAATACAGTAATTTAGAAGTTTTGTCGATTTAATTACTGATGTAATACTTATTTTGCTCACCTGATTTTTAAACTGGGATTTAAAAAGTGAATCAGTGTCAAAAGCCCACCATGGTAAGGAGTGTGAAAGCAGACAAGAGGTGTGGGTGCTCTGACTCTGGTCATACTCCTAACAAAACTATCTCGTTCATAGATGAGGGTTGCCTTTTTAGTTTATATGCCTGCATATACTAGAAAACTGAAGTAATTAGGTACCTCCAAAATGTCTCCTGAACACAGTAGGCTTTCTTGTGATCAAAATGGGTGTATAAACCACTCTCAAGCATAATTTATTTACAGATAGCCATTCAAAACCTAGCTAACAAGTAAACTAAGTTGCAGGACATCATGAATACTACAAACTATTCTGAGAAACAAGTGCCAGGCAAGAGCTGAAGATGTGCAGGAAAACAAAGGTAGACGTCTTTATAAGCACCTCTTTAGGCTTGGTTAGATTTGTGGTTTTACTCTGAAAGCGCCACCTTGTGGAATATACTGGAATAGAATAAAAAAGCCCAGCTCTTAGGACTGAATTTGAAAACAGAAATTTGCAAGAGAACTACCTGACATATTAAGTTTAAATTGCTGTAATAGTATTTCAGTAGATAGTTGGAAAAAAAAAGCCTGTATTTATTTTCAGGTGGCCCTTGTTTTCTTCTTGAAGGCCAGAGAACCATGGAAATGTAAATATCCTAACAGAAAGTCCATTCACTAATCTAAACTAATTTCCCTAAATGCTACTAGAAAACACATCTTGAAAAGGCAATTGGCACCTCATTAAAACAAAAAACTGATTTGAGAAAACCATTTAAAAATTGGCGTCTGGGGTTTTTCTAAAAAAAAAAAAAAGGACAAGTAAGTTACAAATGCTTGAGATACACATATCAAAATTGGGTTGAAACTGTATGATATAAAAGGAAGCAAGTAAGAAGTGAAGATGCTACTTTCTCAAGCATCTGAGGAAAAACCACTATAATTATCCTAGGATTTACATTGCTTGTCAGGCTTTGGTAACCTGGAGTTTTTCCATTGTGGAGAATTAACATATGAATACCTTCCTAATTATATACCTGAATACAGTTAATGCAAAAGAATTTTGGGGTAAGGCTTATACTTTTTCAAAGTTCACCTGTCATAGGAAACAAATGCCTTTTAAAAACTTTTTTTTCTGGCAGTACTAGGTAGGGTTTGAACTCAGGGATTCATGCACCTTGCAAAGCAGGTGCTCTAGCACTTAAGCCACACCTCTAGCCCTTTTTTGCTTCAGTTATTTTTTTAGGTAGGGTCTCATGTTTTCACCTGGGGGCTGGCCGCCTGGATCCTCCTGATCATCTCCCTTCTAGCTGGGATTACAGGTATGAGCCACTGTGCTCAGCCTTAAAAACTAATATTTATACTTGACTACAGTAGACACATGTAATAAGTATAGCTTCAGGTGGCTACATTTCCCATGAAATGAGGAAGGAATACAAGTTTGCTCAGCTGAACCTCTGAAATGATAATCTGTGCTTGGGATGCCTTATATATAAAATTTGCTTTTGAACAAGTCCATAGTTACCAGGTGACTTTAATATAAATTCTCACAATATATTTAATGATAAAAATATATCCTTCAAAATATATGTAACTTTGAAACTACCATTTGAGTATCTTCATTTTCTCCAGAATTTTCTGTCCATTCTCCACTGTTTTATAAATAATTTTTAAAGATTTAGAAATCATACAGTATCTTTATTTTTGTGTCACAAAGTAAAACAGCATTCTCTTGAATTCTATCAATAGTACTAACACAGTTAAGTAATTATGATGGTATATTAACTTTTAACATCATTCTTTCCTAGACCTAACTATGCAACAAAGTGTGCTTTTGGAAAATAAAATGTGAGACACTCATGTGCTTATCATAAAAATAGTCAAGTTGTCACTTAAAAGAAAAGAAATTCTTTGGACAGAAGAATTTTAGTATATTTATGATATTAGGAAGTTTACATGATTTAATTTCCATATTGGAATAACTGCCATTACTGACTTTAATAGGCACCACTTTTAAGAGAAGCAGCTATTGTTATTTAAAAATCAATTTAAATACATAATTTAATGTTCAAAACGTTTGCTACTGTTGGTTTTCTCAGCACAATGGATATACCACATTCTAGAGTTAAACAATGTTTTTCTATTAAAAGCAACATGCTTTAAGATAGCAATATCCTGTGCATTCTGAAATTTTCATTTTTTCTTAAAATTAACATGCTGAGATTCTATTCTTAGGTGAATAATCTTGAGCAATTTTTAGTAAGTCACCTGGGGCTAAATGGAAAGTCTGCCATTCACAGTGTGTGCTTCCTGAGAGAAAGTTGTGAGAATACAGGGGGCTGAAATGGCCCAGAGCTAATCCAGACAGATTCTTTGCTCTTGAGTGCCCACATCTTCAAAGAGGACGAAGTGGGAGGCTCCAACCCACTGGGTCCTTTACAAGCTCTCAGAAACAGTGTTTTTAGTTAGGTCATCACTACTCTTTACCATGTCGATAGCTTATGCTGACTCAATGGACAGGTTTCTTTATCTCGTTATGCAGAGGCTGCTCCAATTTCACCCTGCACAGCAGCAACCCCAGTGCCAGTGTCTGGGCTGCCAGAACCAAACCCCAAACAGAAGCTGTCAGGTACATTCTCATACTGGTCCTAGATGTCTTCAAATCTGCCGGGGCACTTTAGTTGTTATAAGCTGCTTCCGACAGAACCTGGGGCAGCGGACCTTTTCAGTTAACCACTGTTTAGCTTCTGACAAAGATCTTTGAATCCATCTGGCACTGAAGAATATGCCGTGTTCACTAAGTTCTCATTCTACCATATGCTTCTATATGCTGTGTGCTACTAAGGGCTTAGATGGCAAGGCCAGGTGATCTGGATGTCAGAAGTGGGGAGCCTGGGTGGAAGGACATACATCCAGAAAGCAATTGCTCAAGCATAACTACCACAAGGATGAAGAACCAGGGAGAGACTTGCCAAGTTCAGAGCGGCTTCGATGGACCTGCCTTCTGCACCAAAGGATAATGTGCCACGTATCTAATGCCAGTATGTTTGTGCTTACATTTTCCTTTTTAAACACTACTTAGGAATAAGCCCAAAGCAGATGACAGAAATAAAAACTGAGCTCTCTACTTGTATAAAATTCTAAAGAATGCTAAATTCCAGTTTAGAACAGCTGCATTTTTCTTGAGTGAAGTTATGAAAATACTTTTGCAAAAGCAAAAATCCTCAAAGTTATGTTCACTTTGCCACATGGATGCTAATCAAAAAAGTCATGATAAATCAGTGCAGTGAGTTTTAAAATTCTATTTCTAGGCCCCGGCAAAAGAGTCTTTGTACTTGTAATCTTGATCAAAGGAAAGGCAGAGCTCATTTTCCCGGAGAGACTCTGCATGTACCTTGCCCTGGACGCTCTGGATTCATTCTGTCTCCAGCATTTACAATGCTGACAACACATTACCAATCCTGCCACAGTGAAGAAGAACAAGACATTTTGATGGTCCATCTTCACTTTTTATCTTGCTTTAGAAAAAAAATCCCTGTCCCACAAGCTACTGAATTAGAACAATGTGAAGCAATGTACATACCAAAGAGAATGGTTCCCAACCTCAGAAGTCCTCAAGGTGAGACATCTAACATTTCTCTATTTTAGATAGTCATATGCAATATGAAGCTGTGAGTAACTCCGGAGGGCCTGACAATGCATAAACATCATCTGAAACATTTTCTACTGAGTGAAGCAACAGCTATTCTTTGGAAGTCCTAAAGCTAAACATGATCTAGCTTTTTCCTATATGCACTCAAAACACGATTCAGAAAGCACAGGCAGCTGAACTTCCCAAAGGATACCTTCTGTGTCTTCTGGTGACTAGTGTCAGCTCAGCACTAAACTAAATATAAGGCAGAGGTGGTAGGAATATAAAGACAGCAAGAGATGAAGTGTAGCTGCTACAATGCCCAGGCCAGGCTGGCTCTGCAGAGGGCAGGAGTGAGCACAACAAGGCACAAGAAACAAGCTCAGCATAGTGGATGGAGAAAAAAAAAGATCATTTTAGAGAGTAAAGAGGTATCTCTAAAAAAGAGCTTGAAGACATTCCCTCAGATACTACACTAACAATATAGTCTGCAAAAATGTAAAACACTAAGTAACAGTTTCTAGTGATCCACTAAGTGTTGGTGACAGAGCAGGACAAGTAGCCTACTCATTGCCTAGGTAACATCTGTGACTGCAGGTAGGAGGATTACACATGAAGAGTCAAACAGGGTTGCAGAAATGGAACTAAAAACTGTAACAGGAAACTGCACATTTATGAAAAGCTCATTGAAAGAAAGTAAGCAAGCAGGCAGTGCAAGGAACAGCTTCGACAACCTGGTATTAGTTATATAACGGTAGCAGTATATACTAGGGGTGGTGAGAGATGGATGAGGTGGACACTTTGCAAACAAGGCAGAACACAGCAGTGCTTCATAGGAAGTACAGTGTAATAGGTGAAAATTTAAATGGCATTACTGTCCCCAGACAGAGAACTACTCTCCAAATCCAAACAGGAAAGTTTCCGACCAATTCCTAAAAATAAAACAGAAAACAAAGTAACAACAACAACAACAAAAAACAAAAAAGAAAATAATGAAATTTCAACCCAGAAAATAAAAGCTTTCTCTACCTTTAAAAAAAAATCTACTTGAAGTATGTTCCCTAAATCTAAGGCAAGGAATAAAAAGCTTATAGGGTATTCTCCAAAAGAACAATAAAGTATGATACTAAATAGAAGGACTTACAAGGAGTAAATTCAGCTTTTCAAAGAGAAAATAGAATGCATGATTTAAAAAACAGGTCTCTTAAAAGATACGAGAACTTTTTTTTTCTTCCTTTTTGCTGTGTGCCTAAAACTTCATCTTTTATTGCTAGCAAAAGCTTTTGGCCAGAAAGAAATGCTAAGGACATAGGCTCAACTTTCTAATTTGAGAAGACCATTCTGGTGAGTCACCTTCAATGAACAAGCGCCTGTTATTTATCAGTCACGTTGAGTCTATAAAATTCAATTATTCTTGTCGTTTACAGAAAGTAACACTTTAAGAGATCACAGGACCTCCCTCACACATACTAACACACACACTCAAAAGTACCAAATCAGGCCCGTCAGCTGCAGAGCGATTACATCATAACTCAGCTGTGCCTGGATCACCCACTCTACACTGGCAGCATTCAAGGTTAGAATGAAATGGCAGCACAATGGTCAGCAGCTTCTCTTCTTCTGGAATTTTTCCAGGTTCTTGAAACAGACAGACAAACAGACAAACGAATGAACATAAAGCTGCAATCACTCTTGCATTGATTTCAAAACAGTAAACTAGGTGGTTTCCTTGGAGAAGCAGAGCCCATCCAGTAGAAGGCAGCTGGAAGGCCTCCAGATAGCCATTCTCAACAGGTCTGCAGGGCTTGCTCAAGGGGGACCCATCAGCCACCAAGGGTGTTCTCCAGATGATCAGCTCAAGGCAGCCGTGGGGACCTCAGGCTGTGTTCAGCTCTGAGGTATTCTGGCTGGGTGGCAGGTGGGAATCCAGGTTTTCCTTGCACCTCTCCAGGTCTTGGAAGTATGGGTGAGACAGGGCACTGTAGGCAGATATTCTTTTGGCTGGATTAAATGTCAAGCACTTCTGCAATAAAGAAAGAAAATAACTGATACAAAACATGCCAATGCAAATAATGTGCCTGCTCACATAGCTACCCATATATTCACTACTGTGTACTAAGTGTATCTATGATGAAGATGAATTTTTATGTCAAGAGACACTAAATAATATCTAGACAGTCCTCATCTTATGTATGTCCAGAAGGCATGAACTTCCCCTCAGGAACAAGAAACATCTTTTTTGGTGTCCATAGACTGTTACCTATCCAAGATTTCTCTCCAAGCCACTTCAGGTCACTTAAAGAAAGTTAACATTATATTTGCAATAATGTGTATAATTTCACTTAGATATCAATTTTTCTAGTGCTAGCAAACTTTGTGCTACAGTCGGAGACTTGACTCTAACTCCTTGCCCTGCCTCAAGACTTCTCAATGAGCAGGAAATAGAGAGGGTACCCTGCTGAGGTACAGAGGCTGATTACAGAATGGGAGTGCCCAGTGTCGAGGGTAATTCAGGTCTAAAACCTAGGAGGCCTGTACAACCCCAGCCATACACCTTGCTCTAGGGCTGCCCCACCCAGAGGAAGGGATGCTTCTTGCTTCCTTTGAATTCACAGGAAGGTGCCACATGGACTGGCAACAGCTCTCCAATGAGCCCATCGCATTCGTGTCAAGTCTTGGAAGTCTATTGCAGGTTGACACTCAAGCAGAGGGACACTGTGGCAAATAAGCTGGTCCCTGCACTTTAGGGAGTGCCGGTCTTCGTCAAGTGGTTGGGTCAGTCTGACTGGGCTACTGGGGTAGAAGGTGAAGGAGGAAGAGGTGACTCTTTGGAAGAGCAGCAATCTCCATCCCCAAACTGTCAAGTATGTCCCTAACTTCAGTCCTATTTGCCCTGTGACTAGGTACTCTTATTCCTCAACTAGCCCTCCTCTCCCTCCACCAACAACTCTTGCAAGCGCTGCCATACAATGAGTGCTACCACCCTGCCCCACTGCTGACGAAGCTCACAGGCAGCAGAGCAGCTCTCGAAGCTGAGGCCTCTAGCAATGTAGTACCTATTGCATTTCAGCCTCTCTGAAACGTCTGTGAATCTGAGTCCTCTGCATAACCTAAAGACTTAACATTGTTATGGTTATGCAGCCCCCTTCCCTCAGTCTGCATTCCTGCTCACAGTCCTCACCAGGTTCTGCCTGGTGAGGGACCCTGCTAAAATTCTGTTGAAAGCTACTGGCCTAGAAAGGTGCGTACCAATAGAAAATTTCATGTATAATCCCAAGGGAATTCTTGGGTGCCTGAAATCTATAGATGCTAGTCTCCCTGTTGGATCTTCTAAAAATCAAATAGCTGAAGGGCAAGCAGGGAAACAGCTTCTTTGTAGAATGGTTGCAATGTCTCTGACAGTGATAAGCATCTTTAGGAAAGGTTTGCAACGGCCAAGTTCTCAAAGGACAGAAAAGCAGGGACAAAATTCTTGAGCCTCTCTTTCTACAATCCAAGAAGGAGAAAGTCAGGCAGCAGCAATAGAAAAGGAAGCAGCCATTTGAATCCCAGGACACAGGAAAGAGGAGCAAAGTGTGGTGGGAATATGTCCAGACAGAGACAGGTCCCTAGAGGATTATCTGCGAGGAAGCATGATTCCCTGCAGCTTAGAGCTGGCAGGAGGGTGGAGAGGAGAGTTCTTAGCCCCATGTGGGTGTGTGAGACCCTCAAGGGGAAGTCCTAAATACATTTGTCCTAGAGAAGTACAGTTAGAAAAAGGTGTTTAAAAGCTCAATCACTGCTCTACTTCAGGAACAACGTAGCTGCAATAAGAATTAACTAATAGGCCTTGTGTTATAATATTGCTTCTGTAAGAAAATTTTATTTGTTAAATAACTGACTTAAAAAAATCAGTTTTTAGAATCATAACTTAGTTAAACTGAGTTGAGTACTGTGGTAGGCTGGATAATTTTTTTTTTTTTTAGCACATAATAGCACATATTCTATCTCTTCTCTCCCTTTCCTCCATGGGAGGAACATTCTTTCCTCCATTCAACTTGGCTTTGTACTTTGCCTCGGCCTTGTCAGGGGTACCATATGTTTCTGCCTGTTCTTCTGGCAGCATCTACCTGTGGTGGTGAGAAAACATGTCCCAGGGTGGTGCTGCCTCTCTGGACTGGGTGGCAGAATATGACACACAGAGAAGATCTACGTTTGACCCACAGGTTGAAACAGATATCAAAGGCTCTTAATTCAGGAGGTAAAGAACATCTTCATTATTCACTGTCAACAAGACCACCCCAATAGGTACTCTGTTCTGTACCTACTGTTCTGGTTCCCAAATGCAGGAAATTACGTACAAAGGCATGTATTATGAGTTTGAGTCTCAGAACACAGAAGTCTTTATTTTTGGTGAAGTATTTTATATGTGCATGACACATTAAATACTTACTAAATTGGTAACTAGAAGAAGTATTGCTATTTGGTTCCTTTGGAAAAACATCTTTGCAAAGATGTGACTATTCAACATTAAAATGACAAACAAGTTGCTTCAAGTAGCTTGAAACTGTAAATAAGGAAACATAATATTTACTTCAAAAGCATATGTCCAAGCAAATCTCAAGTCTTCTAAGACTGTGTTCAAATACATATTCAAAAATGGTGCATTTAAAGAGTGGGGATCAGAAAGACATTCCAGAATCAAAAGACACCAGACCATGGAGAGCCTACAGCTTCCTGCCCCACATGGCTGTGGCTTGTGATGCACCATAACCACAGCTGAACTGATATTTGTGTGCAGCACAGACTGGATAGGATCAGTAGACTCTGTACCACATGAACTTACCAGAAGTAGGTCTTTGCCTAGTTCATCAATATCTGTTACAAACTTCTCAATGGGTTGGGCAGATTTGGAATGAAATGCCTGCCTGGGAAGGGCAACATCTCTAGGCCAGTCCTCTTCTCCTGGGAGTCCAATTACACTACAAAGGAACCACACGTGAATGTGAGTACTGGCTGCTATGCAAAGTGTTTTCCACCAAATTCCAGAGAAAGCAAGATCTGGGGGGTAGGCATTTGAGGATAGGAAGCCCCAAGAGAACTTCACCTTCTGACTTGGATCTCTCATTTATCTCTACCCTTGTGAAATATGGTAGTCATGGGGTCAAAGGTAATCTCACAGCACTGTAAAATTCATTAGCAGGAGATAAGAGATCACTCTGGAAGTAGATACTAGATGTAAGATGATGTAGAAATGGAACATATATTACCAGATGTGAGCCCCAACATACTGACAAAGCAGAACTGACTACACTGAAAGGAGACCCACCTGGGCATATATATTTTCCTTTATGTGCAAGAGTGCTTTAACTTTTTGGGTTCTGATAGAAACCCTCAGTGAGGACAAGCTCATGATGTTCATCCAACATGACTTATTAACATATCAATTTGGTTCAACTTTTGGTTAAAGAGTAATTCCCATCAGGTGCAGTGGCTCACACCTGTCATCAGCAACAGGGGAAGCATAAAAAGAAGGCTCATGGACCAGACTAGCCCTGGAAAAAATGCAAGCTCCTATCTGAAAAATAACTAAAGCAAAAAGGGCTAGGGTGTGGCTTGAGTGGTAGAGAGCCTACCTAACAACAAGTGCAAGGTCCTGGATTTAAGCCCCAGAACAGCCAAAGACACTTTGAAACTTTCTTTCATTCCTTTTTAGCTTCCTTTAACATCAATATTTGAATACCACACCAGTCACCCAGAAGTTGATAATAATAATGAGTTATAGAAATAATCTGAAATCTTATTATTAGCAACTTTTTGTTTGGTATGGTTTTTGAGACAGAGTTCTTGCTATGCGGCCCAGGCTGGCTTTGGGCCATGACCCCTAGCCCCTTCCTCAGCCTCCTGAGTATTATTAGCAGGTATGAATATATCTATATTGTGTTAAAATCTTACAAACATGGCAGCTAGGAGCCAAATGCCTTCAGAGAAACAGCACGACTCTTACATATGTATGGTATATAATTACATATGTAACTATATATAACTGTTATATATAAAGTTTATATGTATAACTTTAAGTCTATCACTTCCTCTGATTCCTGTAAAGACCTCCTAGACACATAGGTCAGGTGTATTATTTCCATTTTATAGATGGGGAAGCTGAGAATGAGGAATGAGAAGATGACTGCCAAGTCACACATAGCAAGTTCAGTCACGAGGCTCAGGGTGAACCAGTTCTCCTTGTTTCAAATTCAATGTTTCATTTCCATTTAACTCTGACACTGCTCTTAAAAATGCTCTAAAATGTCACAGGCTAAAAGCATTGTTTCACTTTCAAAGTACTTGCTGTTCCTTTGAAGTACAAATATTCCCAATGTTTGCCTCTTTAAGAGTAGGTGAATGTGGCTTTCCTTTAAGAAAAATGCAGTTCTCTGTCCTGTGTGAACTTCTATGGTCCATAGGTGAGCATTGTGAAATTCTGATAGATTCATTAAAAAGTGCTTGCATCACATTCCACTCCTTGGACAGCTGAATGTAAGCCTTAAAAGCTGACATTTATACTGGAAAGACTGACAGGGCACACAATCTATAAATGGTCATAATGGCAGGGACAGAAATAATTTTTCAAGTATGTTAGCAGTGACACTAGGGTGCAGCATTGTCCCTTTTCTCTGGCAAGGCAAAACATTTAGAGAAAATAAAACCTAAGTTCAATGAAGCAGTGCCAGAAACCAAGAAGTAAAATCTAAAGGCACAAAATATATAGGACTTGACAGCTTCTTTTCTGCAGGCCTCTGCCAAAGTGGAGCTGGCTTTCCATGGGAAGCCAGTCAAATGTGCTGGTCAGATGTTTCCCGCACTGTACTGCCCTGGCTGCACGCACTAAGGGGTACTGACGATGCTAACAGGGCTGCAGACTGCCCTGGAGGTGTACAGAAGCTCCAGGAGGTGTAAGGAGGGGAACCTGGTGACGGCCTGCAGCGCCAAGCAAGCAGATTTCAGTAAAGATTGTCTTTCCTTTCAACAGAGGGACACTGGAAGGTCTCACTTTCATAGTTCCCTGTTTAAGGTCTCATGCACACAAAGTATATTTAAGATATATTTTTCATGGGAAAGTATATTTTCATGGGAAAAACATATGAGAGTTCAGCAGTGAATGGATCAAAGAGCTTGACATCTAGAAGCAGAAGTAACAGGAGGGCTTTGTATAGAATTTGTCCATCTTATGGGGTGCCCCAGACCTGGGAAGCCCCAGACCAAGAAAACAAATCAAACTATAACAAAAAACAGAACTCCAAAAAAGCAAAACTAACAAAACAACAACAACAAAAATGGAAAAGAAAAGGAAAGGAAAAAAACCCTCAATAGCAAAACCCCAAAACAAAACCAGCAAATGTTCTTTAGGCCTTGAAGCCAGCGGTTGCCTCAGCAGCAGCACTGGAAGTAACAGAAGTCTGCTGAAGCTGCTTCTAGTCACCAAAAGAACAAAGTCAGATTCCACGTTTATTCTGCAGCCATGCTTGAATAGATAGTGCTAACTTGTAATTCTGTTTTCTGGGGGCACTTTTTTTTTTTTTAACAGTCTTACAGACTTCAAATTTCATAAAAATCCCTATAAAATGTCACAGACATGACCAGTGGTCATGAATATTTTTAGTCAGAACTTCCACTTTCTTTCTACTCCATCCCAATTCTGATGGGGCTTGGCAAAAACGCAAATCCAGGAAGGATGCCTTACCGCATGCTTCAAGAGAAGAAATGCCCCAGTTACACTGTAGAGACATGAAAGCACACACATGTCTACATGCACAAACACGTAGCCATGAATGGAATTCTGTAAATCATCAAGAAGTTACGTACAAACAACTGGAACCAAAGAATTGGAGCCCAAGACAAGACTGATGGAGAACTTAAGTCAGTTTCATTTCTCATATGAAAAAGTGAAATAATCTCAGGATGGATTATAAACAACAATTGCTAACATTTTAAAAGCACTCACTATGTGCAGGCATTGTGTAAGCCCTACAACAGGGTGTTTTACATGACTTCCTCAAGTTTCCACAGTTATTTAGCCACAGATCTAGGAGGAGCACCTAAGATTCTAATCTCCTATTTTGGTGCTCCAAATAAAAAATAGGATTGTGAAGCATCTTATCCCTGGTCCAGGAAAATGAAATACAACCATGTGAAGCCAACATGGATAACCAAGGATGCTAGATGGGGGCAGGAATCCCCCTGGGCAAGGATGGTTACTTGGCTACCAACCACCCTATCTCTGGTGGGGGAGTGGTGGATTTGAAATGATCACAAGCTGACAAAACATCTTCATGAAAGAGCTGGAGCTCAGGGCTGGTGGAGTAGCTCAAGTGGCAGAGCATCTGCCTAGCAGGAATGAGGGCCCTGATTTCAAACCCCAGTACAGCCCAAAGCAAAAGAAAACAAAACAAAAAACAAGAGCTGGAGCTCAGCCAAGCGACGAAAGAATTGCAGCAAAAGAATCCACGCAGGCAACACAGTAGCTTCCACAGCAGAACAGTCAGGCCATACATCATGATGGACTCTGCATAAGACAGTAATTCTACCCTGTCCCCACTCACCACACAAATAATAACACTGCTGCAGCAGCTTGAGGTAAGAAAGACAAGAGATAAACATGTTACAAGAACGTCAGTGGAAAGTCATTACGAATGTTTCCTTGTACGGCCATTGATGTAAAATTAGTTATTACTTACTCCAAGATTTTTCCTAGCTGATCCACATCTGAACTTCCACGAAAAAGAGGCCTAAAAGAATAAAGATACATCTTTAAACAAGGAACTTCATGAAGTTACATTTCAATCACATTGGTCATTGTCATTGTTCCATAGGGAGCAAAATATTCTCTACGGGAGTGGAGGGAGCAAAGAATTATGACATCTTTCCTCTGTTCAATGAAGTCTTTCCTTCCATTTTACTTACAGTAACGATCTCTCCTGAGTACCTGGTGATAACTGATTCCCAGGTTTCATAATCACAGGTATCCCACTTGTAGACATTGTAACAAACAATGCTACTCATCCATAGGCCCAGGTTTCAAAGTCTGACCTAACTTTGTGATAGGGTGAAACCCATCATGGTCCTAGTCTTACGTCATGGGCAGGTGTGACTGAGAAGCTCTTCTTGGTGAGAGACCACCATTCACACCACTCCTATCAGAGTGCTTCCTCATGGACCTCTCTTTTTTTTTTTTTTCTTTTCTTGGCAGTACTGAAGTTTGAACTCAAGGCCTCATGCAAACTAGGCAGGTGCACTACCACTGAAGCCACTCCACCAGCCCTGTTTTGTGTTGGGTAATTTTGAGAACTGTTTGCCTAGGTTGGCTTGTAACCTCAGTCCTCCTCAACTCGATGCCCTGAGTACCTAGGATTATATGCGTGAACCCCTAGCCCCTGGCTGGGCTTCTCTTGTTTGTCCTGAATTCTGCAGCAAGCTATCTGCTATCTATTTTCTTGATTATACCCTTTCCTTTTTCTCAGTACTATGATTGCTGACCATTACAACTTCAAAATCTTAATGCTGGGCTTCGGAGACAACTGTGTCCACATTTAAACACTCAGCATTCCTTGTCTACATTGAGCATTTAATTGTAATTAAACAAGCTCCATTTGACATTTGTGGTTCTTTTCCAAGTAGACCAAGTAACTCTTGGAGGGTGGGTACTTTTCTAGATTTTCCAGAACCCTTGCCCTCATTCTTTACCTTAACTGGTACACAATTATATTTTGTTTGATTTTGTATACCTATGGTGCAAAAACAAATCTTCTGTAACTCCTTGTTCAAGGAATGACATGAACAGTTATTTTTCAACACTAATGTATTTAAAAGTATTTGTAGCCTATTATCAGGAATCATATTTCTTTTTTATATTAGATTTATATTTATACATGTTAAATATTTTATGACCTGTTAAATATTTTCTATGCACAATAAATGTATTTGCTACATAGGTCAAATATGGGGAAGCCTGCAGGATCATAGCATTTCACTTAGAAGACACCTGAAAATTTCTCATACAACTAAACAGTATCTTAGAATTTGGTTGTATTTGCAAACAGGGACTTTAAAGAGGTGATTAAGCTAAAATAAGTCTGTTAGGGTGGGCCCTAACGCAATCTGACTAGTGTCCTCATACCAGGAAAAATCTGAGCACATAGAGAGACATCAGAGGTACACATGTACACAGAGAAATGCCCACACAATGGAAAGGAGGAGAGGCCTCAGAAGGAACCAAACCTGCTGACACCTTGATTTTGGGCTTCAAGCCTGCAGCAGCAGGAGAAAAAAAAAATTCTGTGGTTCAAGCTACTCAGTCTAGTATTTTGCTGTGGCAGCTCCCTCAAACTAATACAGGCAACTTGTGCATCAATAATGAAGTTAAATTCATAAAAGAATCATGGAGCTGGGTGGTACTGTGGATCAAAGCCAGGGACTCACAAATGCTAGGCAAGCTCTCTACCACTGAGCTACATCCCCAATCCAAGACAGGTCTTAAAAAATAGCAAAATGAGAAGTGAAAGTCTTTCCTAAAACTTTCAAAAAAAAAAAAAAAAGGCAAAAGCTGGAATCTTAACAGCTATCTTTTATTGAGTAAATGCAGTATCTGGCATAGTACCAAGTGCTCCCCTAGACATGATCTCCCTCATTTAATTCTCACAGAAATTTCAGGATACATGCAACCATCATTATTGCTATTTTCAGATGAGGAAACAAGATTGCAGATGTCACATGATTTAACTAACACATAACAAATTGCAGACTGAAAATTCAAACCAGGTCTGTCTTGTCCCAAAGCCTGTACACTTCACTATTATGTTGTAATATTTTTATTTTGGTAACTAATGTTCTCTTAGCTCAGTCTTTGCAGCTAAGCCTCTGGGGCAGAAACAGCATAGGACTCAGTGAAGTGGACTTGAGAGACCTGGTATTTCACAAGCTAGTGCCTGTGAGATCCTGCACTCAGATTGCTTTGCTAATGTGCCTCTGTGTTTTTACATTCTTGCTGGACTTTAACAAGGAGTGAAGCAACCCACCAGATTAACTGATGTTCTCTGTTTTCTCTATAAATTTATCAAATGATCGATGCTACTGTCTGAATACTGGTGTCCTCCAAAATTTGTATGTTGGAACCTAATACCAAGAGCAGTACTATTAAGAGGTGGGGCCTTCTGGGACTTTGCCTTTATGAATGGGACTAGTGCCCTATTAAAAGAGGTTAAAGGGAGCTGACTTGGCCCTTCTGCCATGTGAGGAAGCAGCAAGAAGTTGCCATTTTTGTAGCAAAGACCCTTCACCAGATATCGAATCTGCTGGCATCTTCATCTTGGACTTCTCAGCCTCTAAAACTGGGAGCAATAAATGTCTGTTGTTCATAAATGATTACCCAGCCTAAGGTATTTTGTTATAGCAGCCAAACAAACTACAGCAGTGGTCTTTCTAGATTCTTAAATCCTCACCTTCCAGGTCTAATCTTTTATAGTTGTTTGTCCACATTTAATCAATATGCTATTTTTTATTCCAGGTCCAATCTTTTATAGTTGTTTGTCCACATTTAATCAATATGCTATTTTTTATTCTTTCCAAAGCATCAAACTTGCATTTCAGAGAAACAAGAGTTCTCTTTCTTTTCACACTCATCTCCTTCCTTAATATTAGAGTAAATCATGAAATGACAAAAGCTCAGTGTAACTGGCATTATGAGGTCTAGGAACAAACACAATTGACCTCTCCTTGTTAAGCACACATTTTACATGGTGGAGTGAAGAGCATGCCAGGTCAGAAAGATGATGCACAGAATCGAGCATTAGTTGACTTGATGAGCTGATTAAGTGGCTGTGTAAACATGCCAATCTCATCACTGGTGATGAAGACTGGTATCCACAGGTGTGGGTGTGAAACTACCTTAAGCATGAATGGAGCAGCTTACCATGAATTCCTTGACCATGGCTATTGAGAAGCAAACAAAGCAGCCTAATTCAAAGGGTATTTCTCCTTAGGCAATGGCATAAGCTATCTTTTGTTCTGAGGTGTGTGTCTTGGTCTGTTTGGGCTGCTAAGACAGAAAACCATAAACTCGGGGGAAAGCTTAAAAACAACACAAATTTGTTCCTCATGGTTTTGGAGGATGGGAAGTACAAGTGCGGACCCACTTCCTGGTTCATAGATAGTTGCCGTCTTGCTTTCTCATAGTGACAAGGGAAAGGGACCTGAGACCTTTAATATGGGCTCTAATTCCATTTGTGAGGGTTCCAGTCTCATAACCTAATCACCTCTCAAAGGCCCAATCTCCAAAAACCTTTCAGGTTAGGATTTCGATATATGGATTTTGGGGGGGACATAAATATTCAGTCTCTAGCAGTGGCATGAAAACATAGTCTGAAGCTCAGCTGTAGCAGTGGCTCGGGTCCTAACTGCTTTGATTTTCAATTCCCTTTTCATTTCTGTCCCCTGGCAGTATTCTTTCTTTCTAGCTCTACTTACACTTTAAACAAATGTCTGGTTTATTTTCTCTAACATTCGCTAGGTGTTTAAGCAGAAGATTTTCAGGTCATCTAATTTTACCACAAATCCAGGACCAGAAGTCTTATTTCTCTATTTATCAGCTGAATGTGGACAATAAAATCAAGTGTGCTCGTCGCCCTTGAGTTAGATCTGACCTATCAATTTGGCCTCCTTTAATAAGGAGTGCAACAAGCAGAGGGTCTGAATCAGAATTGTTCTGTGAACACTTGGGAGGCTAAGGGGAGTATTAGAATCTCCGAGGCAGCAATTGGTGTACAGGTTAGAATGCTGTCAGCACCTTATGGAGACCTGGTATGTGACTGTGAGCTCTATTAACTTGGCTTTGCAGTAGATAATAAGTTGGCTTGAATTACACACAGCCACTGAGCGCTGGTTGTATGCATTCATCTCCTATTAAAATGCATCTTTGGATGCAAACACATAGTCACAAGATGTTGGAAATAGGTCACAGCAAGGACAGAACAGGCCAAGAAATGGATAATGAATGTGTTCAGACTTTCAGAACAATCTGTTCTGTTTTTGGCTGAAAATTCTGGACAGTATGTATGAGCTGGTTTTATGACACAGGATACTGTTTATGCATACCAGGAGCATGGAGAGGTAGAGTGGATTCAGAGGAAGTATGAAATATTTAACCTATGCTATGGAAGGATATGGAGACATTAGAGTAAGACATCTACAGGAAACTTACAGGATATAATTTGCCTTTAAATAAAGCTTTCTGTTAAAAAAATCTTGGAGATACTGGGACTGTGTGTTCTCAGGAAACACATAAGTCTATGTTTTCATCACAGTCATTTGAATAATTATTCTCTCCTCAGATAAGCTATGTAAAATATCCTTAAATTCATATGATTTATGGCATATTTTAGGTGGACAAATATGAACATAAATCTGATTGAATTGTTTGGTTTTCTGGTGAAGGGGAGTTTAACTCTATTGCCTTGGATAATTTTGTAACTGCAGGAATTATTCAGTTAAAACACACACACACACACACACACACACACACACACACACACAAAATGGAGCTTTATCATGACATAGAGCCAAGCTGGAAGACCCTGAAGGAGCAAATAAAAGAAACAGAAAGACTGAAAGAGAAAGATGTCAAGACAGAAACAACTTGAAGGCCTAAAATAACTCTAAACTGTTTCATCCCACTGCCTGAAAATCTATCCCTCCTGGAAATCCTAGACATGCTTAGAAAGACCCTGCATAAAGA